TTTTTAAATATGTATCAGTGAGAAAAGAGCAAACTATCTATAGGGGAACAACTGGGTTTCCATATCAAAGAAAATAAAATCAGATCCTCCTTATCATAACAACAACAAACATTCCAAGTAGATTGAAGACCTAAATGAAAAAAAACCCAAAACTTTAAAATTATGAGAAAATGATGTAGGGCAATAATCTTATGACTCAGGGGGATAGATGAATTTCTCAGATAAGAAGTGAAGAGTCACTCTGGGGTTGTAGTTCAGTGGTACAGTGGGTGCTTGCCTCTCATTCATGAGGCACTGGGTTCGATCCTCAGCACCATGTAAAAATAAATAAATAAAGACTGTGTCCATCTACAACTAAAAAGAGATATTTAAAAAAAGAAGTAAAGAATCACAAAGCCTTGGAAAATGATATATTTGCCTCTCTAAATTTAAAACTCTTTTTTTCTACATCAACAAAAATACCACAAAGTTCAAGAAAAGCACTAGATTAGGAAAAAAAATATTTGCAACCTCTATAACAGACAAGGATTATTATACTGAATATATAAGAATTACTGCAAATCAGAAAGAAAAGTGATAGGAAAGTTTACAGGAAATATGATTAGACAGTTCAAGATGAAAAGATGTTCAACCTCACTGGAAGATCAGGGAAATGCAAATTGAGACAACATTAAGACATCATTTAAAATCCATTAGGCTGGGTACAAAATGAGACTATCAAATGCTGAAACCATGAGGTAAAAAGAATTAACTGACATCCTGAGAGAACCATAAATTGATTCATCAACTTGATTGTCATTAGGAAGTCAAGTTGAAAATGTGCATATTCTATGGTTCAGAATTTCTGCGCCTATGTATATGTAACGGAACAGTGCTTTTAGAACTTTTTACTGTAACCCATTGTAAGAAAAATGTTTTGCACAGGGACGCCCAGTCCACCCACCTACATACAGATTCATATGTATCTCTCTCTACATGTAACTGATTAGTTTTGTAAAACAATAAACAACCTGTAGTATCTGTACTGTTATATTTTCTATTCCATTTTACTTAAAAAATAAAAGAATATTGGTGATGACTCCCTAACATGATTTCACGGTTCACAAATGAGCAAAACATGCAGTTGGAAAAAGTGAAACATGAAATTCTTATTTGCTTTAGTTCTTGCCTAGTACTTGAGCAAGGACATGTGGACAGAGTCCATTGCAGCTTTATGAGGTGTGAGAGGATGAAATTACATGCACATTTCTGTATACAGCAGAGAAATGGACATGTACAGTTTTATGTTTATGGAATGGAATGCAAACATAAAAGTTCTATGTATTATTAAGGTATTTGGATCTCAGCAATGTTGAACAATATGTTGGCAAATTCTTGCTCACATGTTGGTCCAAATTTCTCCTAAAAAAGAGCTTTGCATTTGTAGAAATATCTGGACAACTCCTAAGCCAAGACTCCTAAAGCTCTGTGTTTTAAAGTTGAAAAAGACATTTTGCAATAAAATATTTTTTTTATTCTTCAATAAAATAGTATTAACAGGATCTCAGTCTAGAACTGGCAGAGCAATTGGTTATGAATAGAATTCTTACAAAAATTGCTTTGCTTTGCTTCAAAACATAACTTCAGGATGCTGCCTGAAATGATTGTGGGTGGTGGGCAAAAACTACGCACACTCAACTTAAGAGAAGAGTTCAATAAAAAATTTACCTAAGCAGATCCTCTAGGAACCATGGAGTAGCAGGGAGCTTGGGAGAGGAAACTCACTGAGTCTGTGAGGGTCAGCCTGTGAGGAGCGTCAAGCAGCCCAAGGACTGGATCCAGATGGGGTTAACAAGATACTCACCACTAAGGAACACTTAAAGTTGGTGAATATCTGTCTCATCCAATGAATGGGGTTTTAGAACTGTTGAGACTAACCTGTTTGTTTTTTTTTTAATTTTTCATTTTTTTTATTGGTTGTTCACAACATTACAAAGCTCTTGACATATCATATTTCATACATTAGATTGAAGTGAGTTATGAACTCCCAATTTTACCCCAAATGCAGATTGCAGAATCACGTCGGTTACACATCCACAATTTTACATAATGCCCAATTAGTAATTGTTGTATTCTGCTACCTTTCCTATCCCCTACTATCCCCCCTCCCCTCCCCTCCCATCTTCTCTCTCTACCCCATCTACTGTAATTCATTACTCTCCTTGTTTATTTTCCCATTCCCCTCACAACCTCTTATATGTAATTTTGTATAGCAATGAGGGTCTCCCTTCATTTCCATGCAATTTCCCTTTTCTCTCCCTTTCCCTCCCATCTCATGACTCTGTTAAATGTTAGTCTTTTCTTCCTGCTCTTCCTCCTTGCTCTGTTCATAGTTGCTCTCATTATATCAAAGAAGACATTTGGTATTTGTTTTTTAGGAATTGACTAGCTTCACTAAGCATAATCTGCTCTAGTGCCATCCATTTCCCTGCAAATTCTATGATTTTGTCATTTTTTATTGCTGCATAGTACTCCATTGTGTATAGATGCCACATTTTTTTTTATCCATTCATCTATTGAAGGGCATCTGGGTTGGTTCCACAGTCTAGCTATTGTGAATTGTGCTGCTATGAACATCGATATGGCAGCATCCCTGTAGCATGCTCTTTTAAGGTCTTCAGGGAATAGTCCGAGAAGGGCAATAGCAGGGTCAAATGGTGGTTCCATTCCCAGCTTTCCCAGGAATCTCCAAACTGCTTTCCAAATTGGCTGCACCAATTTGCAGTCCCACCAGCAATGTATGAGAGTACCCTTTTCTCCACATCCTCGCCAGCACTTGTTGTTGGAGACTAACCTGTTTTTGATTGTGATAAAACAACAGATTCATTTTGTTTCCCAGTAAATATAGATGCTGTTTACCTCAATCCATAGGATATTTGTCTTGCTGTTGTAGGTGGTATTTTCCCATTTAGTTGTGTGGCAGGCTCAATTGGGGCATATGATCTGCCCAACAACCCCCCCCCACTTGCCTTCTGTAGATCTTTTGCTGGGTACTGAAGAAAACACTAATAACCTGAGGACTCCATCTAAGATTTTATTGACTTGACTTAGCAAATGCTTTTTATGAAGCTTCACATGCACACCCATTTCCTTTGTAATACAAAATAGGAGCGGTGACCTGAAGTGAATTATTTATGTCTGTAATGTGCTTGCCTCTAATGCAGCATAGTTAGATTAGAAAATTTAATTCTGAAGTTTATAGGGAAAAATTGTCAGAAAACAAGCAGTTTGATTTCAAATAATATTCTTTTCAAATTATTTATTGAAATTAGTTTTTCCATTATAGTTTACTCTGAGTGGACATCATCATCAAGGAAGAGGAGGAGAATGAAAAGTAGTTTGCTTTGATAGAAGAACAGTTGCAGAAAATACGTGGATATGCCAATCAAATCCACTTTTCCTTAAAAAAAATGCTCCCAAGGGTCTTTCTAGTTCTCATAAGTAATAGGATATTGTATTAGTTTCCTGTTGCTGCTGTAACAAATTACCACAAACTGTGACTTTGAACAGGACATTTACTCTATGAGGATTCTGGAGGTCAGAGTGCAAAATGAGTTCTAAGACTTTCAAAACGAAGGTATCAGCAGGGCTGTTTCAAGATTCTCCAGGGGAAAATTCATGCCTTGCCTCTTGGAAGTCCCTGGAGGATGCAGCATTCCTGAGTCCTGACGAATCACTCCTATCTTGGCTCTGGGATCACGTAGCCATCTTCCTACTGTGATCTCCTGCCTCCCTCTTAGGTAGATACTGTGATTGTTATCAGGCCACCCAGATCATTCAGGCTAATCAGTGAATCTGAAGATCATTACCTTAATCACATCTGTGAAGTACCTTTTGCAATAAAAGGCCACATTCTTAGGTTCTGGGGGTTAGAATTCGGATAATTTTGGGGGCTATTGTTTAACAGATGTCTACCACAGATGTCGTAAAGTGTGTGTGTCACTAAGATAGTCTCTCGGTATGAAGAATCTGGCAGTCCTTGATATATATGATAAGTTGACTGGAATGATTTAGCCATCATCTAGAGAAGCCAGACCCGGACCATGGGAAACTCCCCCAAATCGGCATTTATTATTGATCTTCTCTACCCATCCGGCTATGCAGGAAGTTTCTCACAGAGAACTATTATTTCTTACAGTTTGAAAGAATAATATGCCTAACAAAAGAATATGAACCTAGTAAGTCTTTGTTTCTAAGTTTCATTTCTTGTTGTATCTTTTTTGCTTTGTTTTGTTTTCGTTTTTTTGGTGCTGGGGATTGAACCCTGTGCCTTGTCCATGCTAAGCACACGCTTTACCACTAAACGACACCCCTGTCCTTAACATGTAGCAGTTGCTTTATCAAAATCCATTCTGATATCACTTATACTTTTGTTATGTTCTCTTAAATGATCCTGTACTTTTCCACTATAGTATTACTGAGTGATTTAATAAACAACCATGTCTTTCTTCCTGGGCATACATGCCTTTCTTTTTTCTACTACATTGGAGCCCATAACAGTGGACCAGTGTGTGCTAGGCATTCCTGTATTTTTGAAGGAATGCCTGAATCTCTCACTGTTTTTTCCCAGGAGTTCTAATGCAGCACTGGTCTAAGAGGCAAACATGGACTGTATCGTATCCATCTTAATAACCCTAAGAATTCACAGAGTACAGGAGACACGATGAGCATTTGATTTTTAAAGGCATTGATTTAACTGATCTATCTAGTCCTATATTTTCCCAAAGTCAATTTGAGAAAAGCCTATGGATAATTTTAGCTCTTAGATAACTAGAATGACCTCATTCCTCCTTAATCTTATCATTAGGCAATCTCACCATTTTCGGCAAGGTCATAATCAGGATTAAAATACATTCAAAAGAAATATTCTATTTTAACAAGGTTGAAAATGTCCACCTCAAAAACAGAAGTAAGCAAAGAAGGATTAATTCTTAAATAATAACCTTGTGTATGTACTTATGAATTTATCAGCAAAATACCATGTGGTTGTGTTGGGGATATGGCTCAAGCAGTAGAGAGCTCGCCTGGCATGCGCGGGGCGCTGGGTTCGATCCTCAGCACCACATACAAATAAAATAAAGATGTTGTGTCCACCGAATACTAAAAAATAAATACTAAAAAAAATCCTCTCTCTCTCTTAAAAAAAAAAAAAGACAAAAACATGTGGTTGACTGAGTACAGAATAAATGGATTCTGCCCACATGGGTGTGCATGTGTATGTAAAGCTGATATCTCTCTGTCTTCGAAGAGAGGCAATCCTATGACTGTCTGCTTTAGAGGAGTTGTTGGCATAATTACAAAGTTTGTAAAATTCATGTCTCTTACAATAATTCATTTAAGAATAACAGGTAAGAAGTTCAGCGATGCTGTCAGTGTGGTTCCAGGCATTTGAGGATCAAGGCATTTAAGAGGAATCATTAGGCATTAATACAGGCGTTAATACATCTTTCTGTCTGCTGGCTCTAGTAGTTTAATTAGACTACAGGTCACCTTTGATGTGTCAGAGGAAGGCTTGGTCAGAGGAATGAATTCCTACCTGAAAACAACTGGGGAGAAAGCCTGAGGGGAAAGTCGACAGACTGGTTATGTCCATTTCTTCATCCTACTACATCCCCAAAAGGTATTTATTAGTTGGGAAGTAAGTTCCAAAACATCTGTAAAACAAAGAAAATGCATCTCGATGCCCTGGGGCTGTTGAATTCCACAGCTGTTGACTCACAGATGTAAGCAGAGACCTAACACGGCAGACACTCTTTCTCAGTGAAGGAATTTACAATCTTCTCCATCTAGTCCACCAGGAGAAGGAAAAGCCCTATTAAGGAGTCAGCTGATGGGAGAAGAATGGCAAGCTGAAGGGCTGGAGGGTGGGGCGGGGGCAGAGAGCCTTTGGGGACCATGTGATGGAGGAGCAAAGTTAGAGGAATAAAGTATTCCGGCGAATCAAGCAGAGGAATTAAGTCATTAATTAATACGCTTAGCTGGCAGAGGTATCTATCACTAGATGATGCCCAGATGAGAAATAAAAGGACAGCCTAGGATTTGTTTGTCTTGGTTCCCTTTAAGCATTTCAAACCACCTCACAGCGCCAGAAGCTTATCCCTAGGTAGAGATGCATAAAAGATCAAAAGATTTATTGAGCTCGTTTCTAGTATTCCAGAGATTATTTCAGGAAAAAAAAAAAAAGTCACATTTATTTATTTATTCATCAGCTATTTTGGGTACCCACTGTTTGCCAGGACTTTTTCTAGGTACTGGATTTAAAAAGATAACATGTATTTTTGTTCTCTTGGGCTTCTTTTTCCTTAGGCTCTGTTTGACAGCGGCGTCATCACTGCCATGCACTGGGTGCCAAGCATCATGTCACCACATTAAGTACTCTCCGCGGTGGTGTGACATGACCCTCGCAGCCCTGTTAGGTAGGTGGGTGATCCCTGCTCTGTGGATGAAAGGTGTGGAACTCAGACGTGGAATGACTTTCTTGGGGGTTAGAGCTAGTGAGTGGCCGTGCCAGGCCTAGATCCCATTTTTCATATGACAAGTCCCATACACTTAATTACCCCTTCTACCCCGCCTTCCGTGGAAGAATCAACTCAAGAGCAGAAGGGCCACTTGTATTTCAAACAATATCAGAAATGGCTCCAACTCCTCCTCCTTGGCTTTTAGGACAAGACTAGACAATATTTTCAATTTTAAAAATTAAAAAAATAAGTAAATAAAAGAAAAAAAAAGGCCATATTGAGAAGCAAGGGTATTGGTGGACTCCTTACTAAGCTGTTTTGATTAGGCTCCTGGAGGCAGACTATTTTAAGAAGAGTTGTAATTATTTAAAGATTCCCCCTGTGTTTTAGAAACATGGAAATTATATTTTTTCCAGAATTAGAATTAAATCAGTACAAGAATACATTTGTCATTCGGTGGCATAGATTGACGGAGAAGCTTGTCAAGATTCAGATTCCTCAGGAAGGGTGGAGTCCAGTTAGGATCTCCTAGAGAGGGTGGCAGAATTCCCCCGGCCATCTCTGGGGGTGCCTTTGAGACTGCTCTCACTCTTCACTTTGGGGAAACAATTGACCTGCCATTCCACTGAGTACATTCAGGGAATGCTGGCTGAGGGCACAGTAGTAGGCTCAGGACTGTCAAAGATCAGTGAGGTGTGTTTCTCCATCGGTGAGCCTTCCCAGGGTTTGGCCCGAGTGGGATGTGTCAGCGTAGGAGGTGCGGAAGGCTAGGGGAAGGGACTTAAGTAGCACAAAGGTGAAAGGCCATAATGAAATCAGAGAAGAGGCTCAGGTCTCCAAGTTTGTGGGACTGGTTAGTAACGGAAACGTATTTGCTTTCAAGGAAGAATCTCTTGAGAAATGAGATCTCAGGCTGAGATCTCTGTCAGGCTTTCAAGGCAGTCTAAGTCACATAACTTCTAAAATGGTACCACACCCTGTGCTTTGATCATGCCCCGGCCTAAAACCTGTTACTGACAGAGAAGAAACACCTGCTGTCGGTCATTTCCTCCTGTAAAGCCTGCCCCCTTACCCATCAGCCAGCCACATTTCAAAGCCCAGGGCCAACAACCAGGTCTTCCCAAGTGCCACCCATTTTTCTTTCTTCCACATTCCTCATTAGATATCTTTATTTGATACCCAATAACTTTTAGTTTTGCATTTGTTCAAGATATTCCCAAAAGGGCATTTTGAGTACTTTCGGAACTCTTCATAATCAACACGGTGGAAAAACAATGAGTTTTAGAATCAGAGAGACATCCTCGCTTTTCTCAAACACAATATAAAATGTTAATAATACCATCTGTACTCTAAGTCTGTTTGGTGAATTATGAAGCAATGTGTTTGTTAAATCCCAACTGTCACGTAGTACAGCACAGCTTCAGTAAGTGGAACTACCAAAGATCTTTTTTCTTTTTCTTTTTGGCACCAGGATTCAACTCGGGGACATTTAACCACTGAATCAACATCTCCAGACCTTTTAATTTTTTTTTTTTTTTTTTTAATTTTGAGACAGGGTGTCAACAAGTTGCTGAGGTTGGCTTTGAACTCGTGATCCTCCTGCTTCAGCCTCCCAAGTTGCTAGGATCACAGGCATGTGCCGCCGCTCCCGGCAAGAATTTTTAAAGATTTTTAAACAAGGCTTTAATGCACACATATTTAAAAGTGAATTTTGTTTTGTTTTGTTTTTTTGCCCAGGCACAGTGCATACACTTAGCCCCCAGGTACTTGGAAGGCTGAGGTAGGAGGAACCCTTGAGCTCAGAAGTTTGAGGCCAGCCTGGGCAGCTTAATGAGACCCTGTCTCATAAAAAATATATATATTTTAAAGTATTCTTTTAAAGTTACAGCTTATGGGATAGTGCTATACTTTCCCCCCCCCCAAATGCAAATTGCCATGAAATATTTTAAGAAAACATATTTCTACTTGATCCACTTCATTTGCCAACTAATAATGGAGCTGAGGAAATAAGATTTGTATCTGATCGTTGGCCTCCTCTTTTTTTGCCCTTGAAGATCTGTCATTTTGGGTGGAGGAATGTCTGTTAACTGCTTTGCCCTGAGGGAAGCCAACTTCCCCTCCCTTTTTTTCTGAGGAATCCTTGTTTGGAGAGGAGATTGCAGCCTCCTGGTGGGGAGGAGTGGAAGGATTATATAAAAAACAACTTTCTTGGGCCCTGAATGTCAACAGACCTGCTTTCTTTGTCTTGGGAAGCACGTTGGAGGGGTAAGTGTGGGAGAGAGGTAAATGGTCTCTCTCTCTCTCTCTCTGTGTGTGTGTGTGTGTGTGTGTGTGTGTGTGTGTGTATATCTGGGGGAGAAAGCCAGAAACAGAAGCACTGGCTGCATCATACTCAGGAGAGAGAAGGACCCTTGAAGATTCTCTCTAGCTACAGGTGCGCTCAGGACAGGTGATCTGTTCAAAACGCCATCTATATTTAAATTATGGAAATCCAAGGAAACTCTTAGGCGAATGGACAGGAAGCAAACTCTGATACACATCATAGACACATCACAGAATGCTGATGAACAAGTCTCATTTTTTTTTTTAGAGACGAAAGTACGTTACCAGACTTGGGTTTTTCATCCAAGGGTACTTTTCCACTGAGCTCCATTCCAATTCTTTTAAATTTTATTTTGAGACAGGGTTCTCTCTAAGTTGCTCAGGTTAGTTTTGCACTTGTCAACCGCCTCCCTTATTGCTGGGATTGTAGGTCCTTTCCACCACGCCCAGCTCTACATTATTTTGAAAGGCTTCAAAGTGTTGTGTTATATGGTTGGATTACAACTTATTTAGCCAATGTCTACTGGTTGCATGTTTAGCTTTGTTTTCCCTCCTGTAATGAGGTATATCATACCTTCGGGGTTTCCTCCAGAGAAATTCCAAAATGCAAACATGGGTCAATGGGCAAAAATTTTTAAAAGTTCCTTGAAAGTCTTTATTATCAGATTACACTGCCGTTGTTAATACAGTCTCCTAAAATGCTGGGAACTTTTTCTGATCTTTGCCAAACTCAAATAACGGAGGGTGGGGGGGTTGGCGTTTATTTGGTTGGATGAGGGAATTCTCACTGTTGGGACCTTCATATGCACCTTGCTGATTACTAGAGATGTAACTGCCTTTTGTGTTTTGTAACCATTTTTACTTTTCATTTTCTGCTCATTCTGTATTTTGAAATTATGTTGTCTAGTTTTGAAGTTTGAAATTCTTATTCAGTGAAGTCTTTCTGTACCTTTAGCATAAATTTCTCATACGGACAAGTTCAGATAAATGTTCATTCTTGTTTTCTTTGTTTTGACTTGTCCTGATATTTAACTTGTGAATTTGCTTGGAATTTGTTTTGGTGTAAGGTGCTGTATGGGGGCCTGGATTTCCTCTTTCTGACTAGGCTGAGCATTTTCCCTTGCAGGATTTGCTCACCATCTCTACTCCCACCCATCAGGAAAACCCTCCTCATCTCAGGTCCCTAAGGGCCCAGCACTACTGGATAGTCATAAAGGTTTAGGCAGAAAACAGGTGGGGTGGGAGGAAATTTGTCTTCCACATGATTTTCGTAATGCAGGTTCTTTTCCGTTCTTAATTCTGTTTCAAGTTCCTTTTGGATTATTGTTACTTTTTCTCATACTCTCTCTTTAACCAAGTTCAGCCAGATGCCTCTTTATCTCTTGTCTTACAATGCCATCATTCACCTGTTTTGTTTTTTTTCCATTGTTTTCCTTGGATTTTTTAATATTCTGTGAAGCCAAAGCTGCATACATGTTCTTTCTCAGAGTAAACCTTTCATAAGCATCCTCATATCCCACCACCTTTCTGTGTTTTAGGTTATATGATATTTTCATAGTCTCCTGTTCATTGTTCACTGATTCATGAACCAAAAAGACAAATCCAGCTCCGATGTTTGCCAGAAAACTTTGTTGGATTCTTGTTGGGTTGGTTTGTCTTGTGTGCTGGGCATCCAAACCCTTGGCCTCCCACTTGCTAGACAAGCACCCTACCACTGAGCTACACAGCCAGCTGAGATTCTTGTTGGATTCCCTTACCTGGAGGTTTAGACCTCTACTCCCTAGATTTTAACTTTGGAAAGTGGTTAATAAAAGCTCCCCTGTCCTCCCAGGGCTTGAATGGAGGACTTACAGAGCTGGGGCGGCAGGCCAGGTCAGCAGGAAACCTTCCAAGCCTGGACAAGCCACTGAACCAGGGTCTGGTTTGTAGCATTTAATTACCTGCTTGGTCAGCTGCTGAGTGGTTGGTGTGGCTCTATGTGGGTTCTTCCTAGTTTATTCTCCCCAAATCTAGAAGGATCACTGTCTGGCTGGGCTTTCTCCTTTCTAGGCATTTCCAATGCAGCAGCTTCTAAGACTGGTGCTTCCAACTGTGGACTGTGAACAGGGGTGATGTACTTCTCCTGGACTGGATCCCACCCTCTCTTTCCAAATTAAGGGTTACTAAAGGTTTGGGAAGAATTCATACCAACCTACTATAACACATATCCAATTCTCACTTTTTCAGTCAGTTGACCTGGGTTGAGAGTAAAAGAGATTTTGATGCCTAGACTTATTTTACCATTTAATTTAAAGTCTGCTGTCGTTCAATGGCCTCTGGCCTTAATATCTTTACTCTCCTTACATTTTTTTTTCCTGCCATCAGAAGGATTTGTTTCCAGATGCAAATGTTATTATTTTATCCCCCAGCTTAAAAACTTCCAATGTTTAGAGGCGGGAGAAGAGAGAAAGAGAGGAGGGGAGGAAAGGGTAGGGGGAATGGGGATTGAAACCAAATTCCTTGCATAAACCCAACGACTATCTATAATTATAATATTTTAATTAAAAAAAAGAAACTCAGCAGTGGAGCTAGTTACAATTGAAGGATCAGAGGATAATCTGAGCCTCTTGAGATAGCCCTCAGTTTGCATAGGAGGCAAGTTTGGTTTCATTCGGGCTTAACATTAACATTCCTGGCAGACTGTCTCTGGGTAGGTGACACCAAGGTCCTTTATCTCTTGGAGGCAGGCTCAGCCCCACCCTCTTGCAGATACTGGGGCGTGGGGGTTGGGGGGACTCCCATTGGTTTCTTTACCTAAGTTTCAAAGTTCATGAACAAAGTTCATGTTACACCCAGCTATAATTTGGATGCTGCTGATCTCCAGAGACTCAAATCATTTCATGTTCCCCAGCACAACAGTGGCAACAAACTCCTTCCAGTTTTTAAATCATGTTGTATTCATTTTTAATTTTTATCAAATATTTGTCGAAGAACATTATGCAGAACTGTAGGAAAAGAAAAGTCTCTCTGATAAGTCTGACCTTTAAGGATATAAGGCTGGTCCAGGAGACAGAAAACCGTAATTGTCATGAACAATTGCAATCCAGTTTCGGCAAATACTACAGTAGAGGTTACTAGAAAACAGAGAGAGTGCTGTAGGAAAGATATTAGGCCTCCATTTCATTGAGATAATAATTCACAGGCCACAAAATTCACTCCTTTAAAATGGTTTCAGTATACTCACAAGTTTGAGCAGCTTTTACCACTAATTTCAGAATGTTTTTGTACACACACACACACACACACACACACAACCAACTTTGTACTCATTAGCACTCTCCATTTCCACCTGTCCCCAGGACCTGCCATTACTAATCTATTCTCCACCTCCATGAATTTACTTATGCACATTTCATACAAATGGAATCATACATGTAGACTTTAGTGTCTGACTTCTTCCGCTTAGCATAATATTTTCAAGGTTTATTCATGTTGCAGCATATATCAGCACCTCGTTCCTTTTTATTGCCATTTTACGAGAGCATACCACATTTTAATTTATTTATTCACCAGTGAAAGGGCATTTGGATCATTTCCACTTTGAGGGCTATTATGAATAAAGCTGCGTTGAACACTCATGTGTGAATTTTTTGTGTAGATATATGGCTATAATCTGAATATTTGTGTACCTCCAGATTTATATGTTGAAATTTTAATTACTAAAATGATGATGTTAGGAGATGGGATATTGAGAAGGTGATTGGGTTATGAAAATAGAGTCTTGGTGACTGAGATTAGTGCCCTTGCTTCTTCTGCCATGCATGGGCACAACAACAAAAGGGCCATCTATGAACCTAGAAGTGGGTCCTCATCAGACATCAAATTTGCCAGTCCCTTCATCTTGGATTTCCCTACTTCCAGAACTGACAGGGATAAATTTCTGTTGTTTATAAGCCACCAGGTCTGTGGTATTTTGCTACAGTATCACAAACTGACTAGGGCAGTATATGTTGCTGGGTTATATGAGAAAACCTCTGTGTAACTTTTTGAAGAACTGCAAAATTGTTTTTGCAATGCGGTTTCACCATTTCTATGTTTCCACCAGCAATGTACGAGAGTTCTAATATCACCCCATGCTCTCTAAAGCTTGTTGTTGTCTTTTGGATTATAACCCCTCGTGGGTATGAAGTGCTACCTTGTGGTTTTGATCCATGCTTTCCTAATAACTGATGATGTCTAGCATCTTTTCATGTGCTTCTTTGCATGTCTATGTGTCTTCTCTGTTGACATCTATATATTTAGATACTTTGCCCACTTTGAAATTGATTGTCTTTTTAAGTTGAGTCTTAAGAGTTCTTTATATACTCTGGATATCAGACCCTATCAGAAATATAATGTGCAAGCATTTATCCCATTACATGGGTTTTCATAGATTGCTCATGTTTATTGAAGCACAACAGTTTTTCACTTTTGTGAAGCTTGATTTATCTGTTTTTTCCCCTGTTTGGTTTCTTGTGTGTTAGGTGTCATATATAGGAAGTCATTGCTGTTCCAAAGTCATGAAGTTTTGCACCTGTTTTCTGCCGAGGGCTTTATAGTTTTAGTTCTTAGATGTAAAACTTTGTTTCATTTTTAGTTAATTTTGCATATGGTGCAAGGTAGGGACTAAAATTCATCCTGTTGCATGTGGAAATTCATTAACCCAGCACCATTTTTGAAAGGAATCTTTTTAAAAATTTTTATTCATTCATTCATTCATTCATTCATTTGTTGGTACTGAGGAAGGAAACTGAGCCACATCCCAGCCCTTTCTTTAAAAAACAAAAACAATATAGTCTTGCTAAGTTGCTGAGGCTGACTTTGAACTTGTGATCCTCCTGCCTCAGCCCCCTGAGCTGCTGGGTATATAGGCTTACACCACTGTACCCAGCAAAAGGACTATTCTTTCACATCAAATTTGACAC